TAGGTCTTGAAATAAAAGGCCAGTACGTGTACCACAGGTATGATGGGGAAAGCCACCCTAAGGAAGGTAGCCTTTGCTCTTGCTAGCTGCAGTTCACCTGCTTCCATACAGCTCATTATGTCCAATTAGATAGCATATTGAACAGGAATATTTGGCAGCAAATATACTGTGACCATCTGAACAAACATACATACATAATATACTTGGGTCCAATAGAGCAAAAAATTAGAACAATTTTATTTCTCTGCAGCTATTTTACCTTAAGAATTACAGAGGCATGTCCTCTTACACACAAAACTCAAAGCACACCATCATCATCATCATCATCATCACCATCATCATCATCATAACTATGTCTGGTTTTGAGATACAAATGGAAGGAAACTGGCATTGTTGTATTCAGTTTTTCTGTATTAACGAAAAAATTTTGTATGTATGTGTATGCATGTTTGTGTGTATGTGTGTGCAAGTTTAAACTCCTCATAATTTAAGAGAAACTTAACAACATGGTTATTATAGTTTATTTTTTATTACATTGACTTTTGTGTGTATGTGTATGCATGTGTTACAGCACATTTGTGGAGGTAAGAGGACAATTTGCATGAGTCTGTTCTCTCCTTCCATTATATGGGTCCAGAAGATCAAAACTCAGGCCATCAGGCTTGGCTGCAAGCACCTTTACCCACTGAGCCATCCTCTAGGCTCTGGATTAGTTATTTTAATGCACACACATCTTAAATACTCTTACATTTGGAAAATTACTTTTAAAAATTAAACTTGCAATGAACTAGCAAATATATGTTATCAAAAAATCTTTGGACAGGGTTTCATATGCAGCCCCAGCTGGCCTAAAACTTGCTAATGACTGGCCTTGATCCCACAGAGATCTGTCTGCCTCTGTCTCCCGAGTGTTCATATTAAAGGCATGCACCACCATGCCTGGCTTCAATATCATTCTTATTAACTTTATTGAGTGTGAAACAACACCTGGGAAAAAAAGCACCTTGATATTAAGAACTAAGAACAAAAGCTAACATAGAATTTAAGCTGTTTTAAGTTTCCTATTTGGAATTTCAAAATGTTGTCTGTCTCCTACCTTAGAGAACTTGGTGGAAATTAAACATGTAAATCTTAGAATTGTTCAAAGGTACAAGATTCTTCTCTCCCTAGTCCCTATGTATTTCTCTCGATGGAAGACCAGGTCTTTCCCTGCACAGGCCTCTCTCCTCACACAGTTACAGGCTGAAGGCTGAGTTAGCGCCACACCAGAGTTCCTTATTCTGGAAACTCCCTAAAAAAGCCATGGCTGAACAAACTGAGGTTTTGCATGTACTGTTTTCTTGTTTTTATTATCTCCTAGGTAATTAATAAGAGTTTTAATTATGACATATTAACCTTCAAAGAATACTAGTATTTGCCTCTACTGTGATAATTATTTTAAAGAAATTATTTTATTTCTTTAAAATTAGCACACAATAAGACTTATTTTTTTAAGAGGAAACCTACTTGCTATCAGTTAAAACTTCAAACTCATATGATCAATCAAATACTTCCCAAAGAAGTACCTGTCCCTACTTTGTACAGAGCCTGCTCTAGACGCTTAGGACATGTCCAGTGAAGGCCTCACAGTGAAGGCCTCCCCTTTGGGTAATTAAAAATAAGGATTTAACATTCAATTTCCTTTAAAGCAATACTTTCTTACAATAGTTTGCAATGACTGTTAAAATGATCTTCAATTTGGGGCTGGAGAGATGGTTCAGTGGTTAAGAGCACTAGTTGCTCTTGCAGAGGACCCGGATTCAATTCCCAGCACCCACATGGTAGTTAACAACCTCCCATAACTCCAGTTTCAGGGGAATCTGATGCCCTCTTCTGATCTCTGCAGGCATTGCACAACATGGGTGCATTTACAGGACATCAAAAATAAAATATTAACAGAAATGGTAATACTTTATAATCTCTATAAATCGCTATGTGTCCCAATTCAATTAAATGAATTTTCCATACAACTTTCCCTCAATGATTAGATGACTTCTGCAATTCTCCCCGGAAATCTACGGTAAGACAATGTCCTTCCAGAAAAGGAAACCTATACTGGGTCATCACAGTGCTTGTGATGCTGTCTAGCAGCCGGATGTAATGCCTTTCAGTTCTCTCCTGGTAAGAATGGTAAAGTAGCAGACAAACGACAGAACTGACTGCAAGCACATCAGCCTGAAGGTCCTAATAAAAGCAAAGCTAGCTGGTCTCTAGATCTACGTCATTGCCTCAGGAATAAGACAAATTACAAATTATTAAACAAGGAAAGAAAGACATCCCTGGAGAAATCATACTGAAGGACCACAAAGGATGTTTAAGCACAAAACATCATGCATCATGGAAAAGACACCCCGCAGAGTTGTCCCCCAAGAGCATGTTTTACAAACTCCAGTCCCGGACTCAAGCGTTCTCTAACGTAAGCATTATGTATTGGGAGCGTGGAGGTATAGGGTGCCTCCGGTCACAATGCCGAATTTCGAGCCTGCAGCCGCAGATGAAAGCTTGAAACCAGGAAAGATCTGGTCCAGTTCTTTTCAGTCCATGCCTTGACTAACCACCTGCTGAGGTTTGAGCCAGACCTGGACAGTGCTGGGGAATCCCAAAGAGCAGAGTTCAGGACTGGACAGGTGCCCGGGCGCAGACCAGCAAGGGTTATCTATGCTCCGCCTGCCTGTGCACGACTCACAGAACCACAGGTTCCCGTAGAAACCAGCACAAGGCATGGGGCCCCTCGGCCCCAGGGCCCACCGCGAGCCGGCCTCCGGGGGCCGCTTCCCAGGACGCGGCGCCCCGCTCCACATCGGGCCAAGCGGCCCCGAAGGCACGGTGATAGCAACCGCGACCGCGATCCCGGACCCGACCGTCACGGGCCACTCTTCCCTGGGCCGGACTCCAGGAGTCCCCGCCCCGACCCGACCTCCCGGCCCCGCGCGGCCGCGCTTACCCACCTCCAGGCGCAGGGAGGCCCCGCAGGCGCGCAGGAACTCGCGGATATTGCTCAGGCACTCGCTCTCGCTCCGCGGCTCCGGGTAGACCTGCAACACACAGCGGCGCTCAGCGGGCGCTTCTCCTTGCCCGCTCCCCTTCTTCAGGCTGTACCAGTCTCCGCCCCTGCCCGCACCCGGAAGTGGGCCCTGCGCCGGAAGTGACGTTGTCAGACCGCGCCCCCGCGGCCGCATCCGGTCTGCACTGGGTCCTCTCCCTCGGCGGTCTACTGTAGATCTCTGTGAGACAGGCGAAGCCTCGGCCTCACGAAAGCCACCTCCTCGCGGCCTCGCCCACCCCTACGTGGAAGCGCCCCACGGAATTCGGCCTTGAGCATCCCATCCGGGTCCCAGAGGACTAACGTTCTTTCCCACCGAGACTCCTGGAGGTTGCAGTTTTGGCTTCCAGAGCTTAGAATAACATTAAAGTATGCATATTGGGGTTAAATGCCGGATTTTCTTTTCCCAGATACAGGCCATGTGCTTCGTGAATGGTTAGCCAGAATAGCCAGTACTGTGGGTAAAGCAGCGAAGAGGCTTGGCGTCGCAGGTCTGCGCCATGACCAGCTAGGGAAGGCACCGACCTAGAGCCTGGTCCTTCAGTCTTAGGTAGAATCCTCAGTAGAGCTGCGGTGTTATGCTCCTGACCATACCAGAAACTAAAGTAACCAGAAGCAGAACCAGTGACTAGAACAATTGCACCACCCCCAAGAAACCAGAAATGCATTTTGTTTTTAAATCTAAGGATTTACTTGGTAAAGAAGCAATTTTCTTAAGAGCATTCAAAGAATTAAGTGTTGCTGGCATTTAAGCTAAACCATCATCCACAATTTTAACACTGAGAACATTCACGGCATTTTTGTCCCGCCCTGTAGGGAGAAATCACAGCATTCATCCAACTGCTTTCAGGAATACTGTGATTTCATTTGCCAAGTGCTTGGGTCTTTAAATTTTTTAAGTCAGAATCGGGATATTCAAAGACACCAAGAGAGATGAAATGAGTCCCCCTGCCCCAAGTTGAAAAGTTCTTTGAAAGGAGTCTTGCCGTGTTTCCCTCCAAACTGAGCAGTGTTTTTGTTTTTTAGTGAAATTTAAGAGTAAAACGGCAAAACCAAGCTGCCTTCTATTTGCTGCTTTTCTCCCAGAAGAATTTTCAAAGATTATGCACTAAGTAGTGAACCTAAGAATTTGCTTGTCATAATTTTAGACAGTTGCAAATGATGTAATTTCTCACATTCTGATGATGGCATTTCAAACTTGACATCCTTTTCAAAAATATAGCCAATGAAATCTAAATACACAGGAGATATGACACCCATGTCCCCATCTGAAAAGCTTACAAACTCTTTAAAAGAGAAACACTATCTTCCCCTTTAGTTCATCCCCATTCCACTTACCCAGAGAACTGTGTCCTAATCTACTGTTACAACATTTTATATTAGCCACATTTGGCCACATTGTCCTTTTTTTTTTTCAAGAAACCCTTCCATACAAACACAATACCACATCACTCCCAGATTCTCTTATTTGTGAACCTGACCACTTGTAACCCCAAAATAAATACATATAGCATGCTCTCAGTGAAAAAATTTCAATTGATTTACATTTGCATTCCCGCTCGACTTGAGCAAAGCGATGCTTTCCTGTTTTAGTTCACAAACTGAAAAAATGCCACTTTCTCGGTCTATTCAATGCCACATTTTTTGTTTTTTCTGTTTTTTAACCTTAGTTGGTGATTTCACTTTTTAAATGGCCTCCAAATAAGCTAAAATGCTGGTAAGGGTTCCTAAGCCTAAGAAGGTAGTGATCTGTCTTACAGGAAAAAAAAAACTGTTTGTCAGACAAGCTTTGTTCAAGCATGAGTTACAGTGCTGTTGGCCATGAGTTCAGTATTAGTGAGTCAAAAATAGGAGACATCCACAAAAGAGAGGAGACACACCAGTCTGTTTCTGAGGCTGTTCCAGAGGTGCGAAGGTAATGTCAACTGTTCAGAATGAAGCTATGGAGAAGATGGAAAAGCAGCTAAACTTGTGGATTTGTGAGATGATCAATACAAAAGTGGAGTAGACAGCATTGTCGTGAGGTTGAAAGCCAAAGAAAGATTACAGTCCTGTTACCAGGGTCAGAAACATTAAATCCTTCTCAGCTTGTGATGACTAGCTGGCACATGTCAAGAAAAGATGGAACGCGAAAAATTTTAGACTTGTGGTTGAGGGTAGTTCTACAGATAAAAGGCTACAGAAGAATTCAGAAACTACTTTCTGTGCATTATCTATGAAAAGGGCTTTATTGAAGAGCAGATTTTCAGTGCTTATGAGACTGGCTTGTTTTACAAGAATGTTGGAAAATGAACCTGTGGGATGCAACTGGCTTCTAAGGCTCCTCCCTTTAAAGGAATCTGAGATCAGGCAGCCTTACTGTTGTGTGTCAAGCAACTTTAAATGCAAGCCCCTAATGCTGCACAGAACTCAGAGCCCACGATCACTTACAGGGAAAAACCTCAACTCCATGCCCCTTTCACTGGAGGTGGAACAAAACTCCATGGATGGCATCCTAAATATTCTGGGTTTGGTTCCACAAGTGCTTCATCCCAGAAGTTGAACTATCTACAGGGCAAAAACTTTGTCTTCAAGGTTTTATTAATTCTGAACAGTGACCCAGGTCTTTGTCACAAAAACTTGAAAATGTCCACCCCAATGCAGAAGTTCTTGTCATGACTCCAAATACTCCATCTCTCATTCAGCCTCTCAGTTAGAGCATAACAAAAGCTTTCAAGGCACATTACCTGAGACAGTTGTTTGATAAAGTCTGCAAAACTTGAGGCCTATGAGGAAATCACCATGTTAGACTACTTGAAATGCATCACCAAATGCAACACTATTGGTTATGTTGGTACAGTCTAGGGCAGCATCAAGCAGGAAAATGTTCCAGGTGTGTGAAAGATTTTGTTGACTTTGAGGGCATTACAGAAAACATAATAAGTGTCAAAAACAATGCATATTACACAGAAAGTAAATAGAGATGGTTCTAACATGAAGAAAAAAAATAGAAGAAATTTCAGCTGAAAATGCAGTAGAACTCACGAAGACCTGTACAAGATGATGAAACACAGCTTCAGAGTCGTGATAACAGGACTGAGTAAAGTCAGCCCAAGAAACCAACAATCGTCCCTCTCACAGCAGCCCAAAATAGCAGAATGGAACTCTGCCTTGGAAAAATTTACTGACACAAAGGGCTGTGACCCCATGCCTGAATGTGGCCTCACGTGCCACACTGCCACTGCATTTGTCCCTTATTCCAAGATACTTAAAGATTTGGGGTTAAAAATTCAGGCAGACAAGGCTGAAGCAGTGCTTCTAGCCTTAGGGCAGTTTGGGAGGGAATGTTATGAACATGAAAGTCCTAAGGTCTCGGTCTCTCCTAGGGAGCAAGCCAAGGTCCTGAGGTCAAACCATACTCATCCTGAAGCTCCCTGTACAGTAAAGTTTTGGTTAGCATTTCTATAAAACTAACTGAATGATCTTTGCTCAGTGCTTTTCTCAGGACTTCATTTGCATTCCTTACTGTGCAGTACCCAGTATATGTGCACAGTGCTGTGTTTACTGTTTATGAACATTCTGAGTACATGTACTATGTACATAAGACTGTACATAGTACAGTCATGGTATAGTGCATTACACAGTACTGTACAGGCAATGGTGTTTTATTATAAACAAATGCTGCATATCGTTCATAGCATACATACTGAATTGGTGGTATTCAAAAGCACATAAAATAAGGTTATATTAACTGGTTGATAAAATAGTATGACCACCTGTATGCACAACCACACTAGCAAATACATACAAGAAATTATATGCACTATGACCAGAGTCTAACAGGACCCTAATTCTGTATTTCTCCTAACATCAATGTTGTAGTCATGGACAGTTCAATATTTGAGATAACTTTATAGAATATAACATACCAAAACTAACAGCCATCTCTACACTTAAGACTATGAAGCCAAAAGGCTGATTGAGTTTTTTCTTCTGTCATGAGTATATAAATAGTAGAAGCAGCATATTACCATTTTTGATAATTGTTAACTATGAAAAGCAAAAGTACTTGGAGATGCATATATTAATGAGATATATGGGGATGTTTTTATTACACTTATCTGTGTTGTAGGCATGTGTAGTAATCAGAAAACAATATGTGGGAGTTAGTTCTCTCCTTCTACCATGTGGATGCCAGGGATGAAACTCAGATTGGCAGACTTGGTGACAGGTACCCTTTACCCACTGAGCCATTTCCCCAGCCCAGATTTTATTTTAATTTGTCTATCCATGGATGATTACCATTTTTGTTAAGAGGTGTTACCTAGTTCTTTTTCTGTTTTTTTTAAATGCACATGTTGAAAACCTGTGTCCATAGCACCTGGAAACGAAAAAAGTTCTGTGATATAACTTCATTTGATGAGTCACAGAGCCAAAGTCCAAATATCACCTACTGCAAATTATGAAATTTTAAAATGTGAATGCTTCATTACAGCCTCCTTTGATTTCTATGAAAGCTAAGAGTTAGAAAACCCAGAGTTGCAAAATCCTGTCATTGGGAATCACTGAGTTGAAACACTCTCAACAACATTGCTTTCTTTATTACCTGGATTTTCTAATTACCCCTTGGTTACATGGCAGGAAAGTTTTCCATCTTTCAGCAATACGCCTGAGGAAGACAGCAAATGGGTGAAGGTCTGCCTTTTTGTGTGAAGTAGAAGAAGGACCATTATGAAAGGGGAGGTGGGACAGCAGCAGTAGTCCCAGGTTCCTTTTCACCATCAGTTTTAGGTGAGTACATAAGCAGGTTGAGGGTTTACCCCTGGGTTGTCTTGAAACTCCCCTACCTGCATAATAACCCTTGAGAAACCTGGTTCATGTACATGGGTTCATGTAGCTAGCAGCATCAGAGAACATGGCTGTTTGGAAAACAAATCAGAGGCAAAACTTTATGTCAGTAGTTCCCAGCTCTGTAACAAACAGGTGTTACCTAGGACAAATTGCTGACCATTT